TGGTACACTCCATCCCTACCCCACCAGTATTAGAAACCTGCTCTTTGGGAAAATGACACTTTCATCCATAATTGAGTTGAAAGGGTTCCTGGTTTTGGAAGTCATGAGCTGGAACTCGAGAGTGTAGTGTATACTTGAAGTTAAGCTGAATACAGAGAATAATAAGTGATAACTAAAATATTCTGTATGGAGTAAAAATGATTATAGATAACCTGGGGCATCTGTGGTTTGGTAGATGTTGGTTTCCCCACATTCTAGGGGAATTATTGATGTTAGTAGCCTTTTTTGTGTTCCTGGCCTCTGCTGCTTCCCATTGGTTGGATCACTTGCCAAGAGATACCATTTGCCTTGAGATTTATTAAAGGCAAGAAATTTTTTTTTTTAAACACAAAGTTCCTAGAGGTATTCTACCTCTCTATTCTGCCTCCTTACCTCCCCTCTTAAAATATCTTCCTCTCTCCCTCCTTCCCACAGTGATTCTTGGGCCTGCTTTCTTTTAAGTCCTACTACTCTGAGACAGAAAAAGTGGGTGGAAAAGAACACTTGATCGTGTTCCTAGGACAGCTGCTCTGGACAGCCTAATCCTTTCTCATGAGGAGTTTGTAGCTATAGAGTATCCTTTCCTAATAGCCATGGTGACATCAACTCCAGAGGCTGGCAGAGCCCCCTGAGGGAGGGCACCCCCTGAAGGAGGGCACGCACATTTATTGTGCTGCCAGGATGCTGCAGGGGGGCCACCATGAGCAGAGCGAGTGCACTGTGGGTTGTGCCCCAATGTTGCTTACTTATCTGCTGCCTTCACACTGTGAAACTCTTTGGTTATACCCTGACCATCCTGGCTGGGTCCTGAATTAGACTGTTACAACAGGGTGACAGGTAACATGGATGAAAGAGGAGCTGAGAGACCTGAGACCTCTCTGAGTAGAGTGAACCACCGGGAACTTCAGCTCCCTCGCACTTTTAGAACCATTTTATTTCTTTGAAGTGAAGAAACAGTTGAAGTGGTGTGAGGTTTTGCTAGCTACCATGGCCTTTCTTTTCAAATTCCATTTAATAGCCCTTTATTACTTTTAGGAATATGCTTCCAAATTATTTGTAAAGGAAATTTTGGTGTATTGAATGTAATACAGCATAGGGAAGAATCTTGAGTTTTGATATCTTTTTCTTTTTTCTTATGAATGTTAAATTTATGTGGCTTCCAGCAGTCCTGTGATTGTGGTCAAAGCCCTGTCTCAGAGGCCCTCGGTGGAATTAGGTTGCAAAGGCTACTTTGTGTTTTCTTCAACGAAAGGGGCTAGGGAGTAAGAACTGGGTGTCTTAGAGGTCTGTGTGAAATATTTTTTCAACTATATAACTCACTTCCTCCCATTTACACATATTTCGGCTTTAAACATTGTTAAATTCTCCCAGCGACTCTATGAGGGTTCCTATAATTATTAATGGTTTTATGAATTAGAAAAAAAGATAGAAAGCGGTAAAGTAACTTTTTTCAAGGCCAACTAGGAAGCCAGAGCCAGGATTGGAAACTGTTATTTACGGACTATTTCACCATGAAATCTTAATCTCCTAACTCAGGGAGAGTTAAATCTCCTAACTTTAACATTTTGGACTATATCATTTTATTAGTTCTTATGTATATTTATATTATGTTATATTAGTAAAAGTCATGCCATGTGAAAGTGTATATACCCTCCTCTTTCCTGAAATTGATTTTGTTTCAAAGGAATTTTCTCACATTACTTAAAAACACTTGGGAAACAATTTTAGTGACTGTGTCATATTTTATTAGAAGGCTGTGCCACAGTTTCCTTAACCATGTTCCTAATGTTGAGTGTTTTTATTGGATGCCATTTTTGCTCTTACGGTCAGTCTGCAGCAAGTAACTTTGTTGTCTAAACTGTTGCCTACACAGTGGTCACCTGCACTTATGATTATGTCCTTAAGGATAGGTTCCTGCAAACTAGGATGACTGGGTCTGAGAGTATGAATATTTGGGAGGCTTTCCTAGAAGATTGATTGAATCACTTCATATTTTCACAAGCTCGGTGTTTGGGACGATCTCTTCACTTTCCTTAACAGTGATCTTTGTCATTTTTAAAAAGAGTTTGCTGGAGTTTAATTTGGTAACCAGCAAATGGTATCTTGCTCTTAGAATGTAAACTTCTTTGCTGCTTGGTGAAACAGCCCTTTTCATGTGACTGCTAGCCATCTAAAGAACCGCCATTTCTGCCCAAGAGAAGGGTGTAGAAGAGGAAGACTGTGCAGTGTTCCAGCTGGATGCACTTGCAGGATAGGGCTCGTGTTATATTGGGAGAGGTTGAACTTTGTTAATTGTTGTTGTTTGCCTGGCCTTGAAAAGTCCATCTTGCTTGAATGCTGCAGTCTGGGGCAAAGCCAGTAGTGAGTCCTCGAGACTCTGCCACTGTCTTCTGTGGGTGCTGATCCCTCTGGCAAGAGGGAAGGACGGCACTAGAGCTGAGTGCTTGAATTAAAAGCTCATGCGTAGGACATAGAGGGTTCACCTGTAACCGAGACTTCAAGCCTTGGATGGCATCTTTTGAGATGATGTTGTGCTGGTAGTTGTTTTTTTTTTTTTTTTTTTTTTTAATGAGGAATCAAACTGTGAATTCTCTCAATTCTCAGTATTTCCTTATTCTCACTTTGCAGTACATGTTGGTCCTCGTGGATGATTCTTAAAATCCAGTGCTAGCCTATCTTTCCCGATTAACTGGCGCAGTTTTTTAGCTTGAGCTTTAGTTCTCTAGGCTTGTATTGTAATGGTGGAACATTTTGAGGCATAGATTAGTTCTAAATGTATTGGATTCTTCATACACAGTTGCTGTGCCTAAAGCCTGAAGGAAATGGCCATCTTTTATCTTATGATGTCTAATTGCATTAGAAATAGCTCTCCCCACCACCACTCCTTCAGTGCTCAAGGCACTGGGTTCACTACTCCACTTGTAAAGGGATTGGATGTCCTGAAGCATTGGTTACATAATTGTGGATTGGCTTTCACCCATCCAGCTTAACTTCCTCCTGTGATCGTGAATTCCAGGCTGGCAACAGTAATTAGATCTCAGAAAAGCCTGTCCAAAAGCACACCAGGCTAGAGGACCCTGCAGCCTCATCTCTGCATTGGCTGAAGTTTCAGAGCCCTTCATTTTTAGGGTACGGTGGTAACCTTAGACAGAAAACCTTAGTGCTTTTCTTTCTGTGCATTAATTTTAATCAAGCAATGACACCTGCTTTCTGTGCCGCTTTGAGATCTGCAGGGAGCTAACCTGACCGTTTGGGTGCCTTTCCACCCTATGTGGTTGATCTGCTTAGATAGACTGCAAAACAGAACTGCAAGGCAGAAAACCTCCCATTTCCACAAGCTACTGAGTGACCCACTGATAGCTAAATTTAGTGAAACAGGTAAGTGCTGTAAGAAGTTGGAAAAATCAGGGAAGACTTCCTAGAACCCAAACTTTGAAAGATGAAATGACATTACAAAGAAATGACTGTGAAAATATATATAACTCAATACTTAAGGTACAGCATTACTTTGTAGTCTGCAAAAGGTTTTCTCTTTAATTCTCTAATTCTCACAAGAATTGTATAGAGGTAGGTAGCATGAAGTTCAGTGCTGGGCAGAGGGCCCAGCCTGACAGGCAGCAGGTGGCAGAAAATCTGAGCTGTGTCTGTTTTCTGTTGTGTATCTCCCCTGATACAGTCTTGAGGAGGAGCCCCTTAGAGCCCAGCGGACTAAAAGAGCCATTCACCCTGAAGATCATAGCAGGGGTCATTTAGGGGCCCTCCAGGATATTTCCAGTTATTGTTGAGTCTAAAATTAGAGCCTAATGTTATTAAAGATGTCCGGGAATCACTTTTGGAAGAAAAGGAATTAGTGAAAAACAGTTCTTTTTAACTTCATGAGATCTCAGAATGGGAGAATCATTGCAGAAATAAAATACACAATGACAAGTTTGTAACTATTATATGTTGCATATTAGTATGTACAGTAATCATTTCCAGAAGAAAGGAGGTATTAAAAAAAAGGTAATAAAGATATTTTACAACATTTCATAAGATAGTACAAGAACTGGAAGAGTTATGGCAAAACTAAAAGAAAAGCAAAGCTAGGGAATGAGGATGAATAAAGCCAAATATTTCATACAGTTTTTAAACTTCTGTTCATTTCAGGTTTCTGGCTACAGGCTTAAGAAACATTTTTCTTTTCCTCAAACTGAAATTACAGAGACTAACAGAAAGGTGGTCTGATAAGTCAGTTGGCTCTTGTACCTTGTATGTCTAGGCTCAAACCAAAATGAGTCTGTGCTCTGACAGGTTGTTAGCACCCAGCGCTCTTAGGCAGGTAAAGGAAAGAGTCCATTATTATAGGGATTTCAAACCAGGCTTCATATGCTTTTTCCCTGGCACTGCTGCTTATGTTTGTTTTTATTGCAAAGTGATAACCTTGGAGTTGAGTTACTTTTTTACAAAAGAAACATTACTTCTTCTACGGGGATCCATCATTTCCAAGTTGATGCTGTCAGGAAATGGGACACCTAATGGAAATCCCCAAAGAAGGAGTTCTAAACTTTGTGTTCCGTTGATCTAACAGAATTATACAAGGTAATCTATTGCATGTGACCCTTCAGTGTCTGCCCTCTAAAGTTGAACAGTGCCAGGCGTTGTTCTTGGCTTCAGAATATAATGGTTAAAAAGAAGATAGACAAAGTTGTGCCCTGCTGGAGCTTACGTGTAGTGGGAGGGCTAGATGACAAGCAAGTGAGAACAAATAAACAAGACAGTGCATTATATCACCCTCAAAGGGCTCTTGAAAAATGGATTCTCTGCCTGAGTTCCACAGATCATGAGGTGAAGTTTCATGCCTGAATAAGTAATAAGGGTGACTGATCTATTAAAGTCCACGTGCTTCTGTTTGATATATACTGCTAATGAATTTTCAAACTTGCCAATCTCTGAGAATTTCTAAATACATTTTTCTCTCCTAGGTGGCAGAGAACACACCTTAGAAGATGCAAAACCTGAATCCATCAGTGACACTACGGACATAGCCCTACCACCTGAAATGCCAATTTTGATTGATTTTCATGCTCTGAAAGACATCCTTGGGCCCCCGATGTATGAAATGGAGGTGATCATTCTCATTTCTTTGTTGATAGCCACCAGTTTACTCTGATGGTTGCTTCACAGATTGGGGGAGAGAAAAACTGAGTGGTTTGGGAGACTGAGTTTTGTTTAGAGATTGGAAACTTGTTTTCTCCATGGTATTGTATTTTAGATCCCAGTGTGATCATAAATAAGGCTTTTACAGAGAGCCAGAGACCCTGGCCACATCCTCTTCTGGAAACTCAATTTGATCTTATTCTCTGCCCTCCAGTTCCATTTTAAGAACAGTGTCACTGACTTTCCTCTTTAGAAATTCTATATTCCTATTAATTCCTCATTACGGATTTCTTGGGGGACAGAGGTAGGGAAACAACCTAAGTATAAAATATCTGAAAGTGTGAGCCTAACTTCAACTTCTGACTGCCCAGATTGCATCTTTTGGAAATCTGTCATTTCATTGTTAATAGTTCCTTGGGTTGAAGCTACGCAGCCCTATATCCATCTTACCCCTCTGTTCCTTACAGCAGAACATCCAGTCAGAAAGGCCTGAGCCCCAGATACAAATTGAGGCAGGTGGATGGAAAGAGATGTTGAGTCTGTGTCAACTGAGGCATTTTGATACCTTTTGTAGGATTCTTATTTGAGCTTGTATGGGCAAGTTACTAGAAAAAAAATTGTATTATACTACTGAACATAGCATCTTCCTTCAGGAGCTTTATCATCACCTCCTATCAGTTTAAGAAAAAAAAAAGATTTTTGGAAGAATAAGTCTGATAAATTACACAGAAGATAACCTCTCCCTCTGACATTCAAAGTCACTACCATAGATATGCTTTTCCTCAAGTCTTAAAACTGGGGAGAGGAAAAACAGTCCCTAAACTCATCTTGTTTATCTGTCTACACTCTGAGCTGGTCATTAAAGCTAATGAGCCTCTCTACAAAACTCTGTTACAAGAATAGAACTTGTTTACTCTCAGTGGTAAATCTGGTCTTGAACAGTAGAATCAGAGGCAGATTAGTTATTTGAATTCTTAAGATGTCATGGATTTAAATTTTGAAGTGTTGTAAGAAATGGAGCAAAACTTTCCTTGCTTGAGAAAGTGAGCAAAATCTGCTTTTTTTTGTCATGTGAGAATGCAGTGGTTTTTGAGAGTGAAGATGTAAACAGGTTCTGTGTCCTGCATTTCGAATGGGCTTTTTTCTTCAAGCTTTCCAGAACAGTACGTTCCAGCAGTTCTTTGGGAAGTTAAACTCGAGCAACAGATAAAAGACTGATGCGTGTTTCTGTTGCGTATACCCCTTCTCTCCCAGCCATTCCTGCTGCCTTTAGTTCTGGGGGCATTGTAGACATTCTTGGAGCTTTGGCAAAAAAAGGAAGCAAAAGAACAGAAATGAGAAATTTTATAAACACTGCTTAACAGCTCTGTTTGATATCATTGGAGAAACTCATTTTCCTTTAGGCATCTGAGCCCTTTGCCAATGTGAATCTGAAAGGTAGAATCTAGTAGCCATTTGCCTTTTATAAATAAATAGCATCTTAGAATTGGAGGTCTGGCGTTTGGGAATTTGGAGCTTTTTTTTTTAAGTATTTTTTATTTTATTTTTTTAAGATTTTATTTATTTATTCATGAGAGAGAGAGAGAGAAGCAGACACAGGCAGAGGGAGAAGCAGGCTCCACGCAGGGAGCCTGATGTGGGACTCGATCCGGGGACTCCAGGATCACGCCCTGGGCCAAAGGCAGGAGCTAAATTGCTGAGCCACCCAGGGATCCCTGAGTTTGGAACATTTTGTTCATCTTTTCCACACTTGAGAGGATTCACCCTGTAGCTTGGGGTTTCTGTCTCCACCTCTAGTGGTCTGGTGACAACCTTCGACCCCAAGCTGCTTCACCACCTTCACGTGAGCTTTTGCATCTTGGGGATGAAGATTTATGGAATGTTTAATTGCCCCCGAGCATCTTCCTTTTGATACCTGGGAAGAAGCTTGAAGAGGTTAAATGAGTCCTGCAGATTCACATAAGGTGCAAATAGTAAAGGCAATATTCAAACTCCGAATAGCCGACAGCAAGTCCAGGCGGCTCCTCTGTGGTACCCTGTCAAACCGAGTTAATTCCTGTCCTTCCCTGATGAGAGAGAATGGCTTGAAGTATGGCCATTTAAAAAATAAGACCTCTGCTGTATGTCAGATTTTTGTTTGTGTTCTTACCCAAGTAGTGCTGTGTTTTAGAATGGGAGTGGTTGGCCTGGGGTTCTTGCCCACTTTTTTGTGTGTATCTGTTAGGTATCAGGCACCATCCAAGACCGTCTAACAAGTGACACATCTTCTAATTCTCACTCTTGGCATCTTTCCAAGAACAGATGAGGAAACAGGCTTAGAGTATTTAGATAACTTGCAAGAAGACACAGCTTTTGCCAGAATGGAGATACGATTCAGGCCTGACTCCAGAATTGTGAGCTGTTTCTCACCTGAGAGGAATGTCACACTGGTACATCTGAGGTCTCGGTTCTCCCAGGGGACTCACAGTGGCCAGCCTGTGTCACTCTTCTTCCTGTGCTCCTGGGTAGAAGGTCTGGGGAGAGATTTTACTAGGAATGTTGGAGTATGTGTTGAAGTGGTCCTTACAAAAAAGGTATTGTAAGGCACCTTTTTTGGTTTAAATGCCTATAGTCTCCATAAAGGTAAAAGTCTAGGGTCATTTCTTCTAGAAAGAGTTTCAGTCATTTAGTAAATATGTATTAAGATGCTGCTGGCAAATACAGTAGTAAACAGGCAAGGTTTGATCTCTGCCTTCATGATACTTAACTTTCATTGAGAAAATAAGTTAACACATAATTATAAGTTGAGATTGGTGCTGTAAGGAAGATAAGCAGGTGGCACTGAGATTGGGTTCACTGCTCCAGCGCTGAGATGTGGTTTTCAGGTAGCCTTGGGCTTGCTGACGGATTACATAATGGGAACAAAGGAAACAGTCATCAGAAAGGACTTACGGGTTTCTGGTGGGAACAACAGGATTTTTGTGTGGCAGTGCCATTTACTGCGAGGGGAAAGACGGGGATGGTGAATGTGTCAAATTTGAAATGTCTGAGGCATGAGAAAGGAGACGTGTGGACACACAGGCCTGTTGCTCAGAAGAGAGGTCTGAGGTGGAAGTATAAATTACAAAGTTGTCAGAAAATAGAGGACATTTAAAGTCCCAGAAATGCTGAAGTCACCAGAGGAAAAAGTATACACAGAAGAGAGCCAGTGGTAGCCTAGAGGCAGGCCCTGAAGAATGCCAAATTAGCGTTTTGGAGAGGAAGAGGAGCCCTCAAAAAAAAGTCAGAAGTAACAAGCAGGCAGGCAAGAGGAAACGGGTTTTATGCTGCCATGAAAACAAAGGAGGAAACCCTCCAAGAGGTAATGTCCCAGTGTCCAGTGTGTTTGCTTTTTTATATTCGCTTTGATAGTGTGGAGGTTGGTGACCTTGGAAGAGGGGAGTGGCTGGCATGAAAGATTTGGGAGGGTGTTGAAGAAAGAATGGGAGGTGAAGAAACCAAATTAGTGTGTAAGCTCCTCTTTTCAGAGGTTGGCTGTGAATGATTGCAGAGAAATGAGGTGGCTAAAAGAAGTTTGGGGGCCGCAGGGAGAATGTTTGCAAATAGAGTCATGTGTGCTGATCACAGCAATCCAGTAGGGAGTAGGACGGATATTGCTGGAGGGACAGTGGGAACAAAGTCTTTAGGAAGGTGAGATGGGATGCATCCAGAGTGTGAGGGGAGGAAATGATATGCAACCATGATACCCTTTGTGGGGTATAATGAGGAGATGGCCAAGAATACTGAGCTAGTTACAAGAAAAGGATTATAATGATGGAAAAAACAAAGGCTTGTTTTTTTTTTGTTTGTTTTTTGTTTTGTTTTGTTTTTGTACCAGCAGAGAAGTGCTGTCAGGACAGAGTAGGTGTAGAATGTGAAGGTGGCAGCATCAGTAGTCTTGAGGACAAGTGAACTAGGAGAAGAAAATTATTGGGGGGGGGCATTCAAATTCAGATTTCAGAGGTGGTGTGATTTCTGATGATGATAAGGAGACCTGGAAGAGAGTGGCTGGGTTAAGGTGAGGAAAGCATTGTTGGGATTGAAGAACTATTCAGAAAAGCAGAAGCCAGGTAGAAGCAGAGCATCAGCTGTTCGCCAAAGACACCTTGGATGATAGCAGGATGCAGGGTGGTGAAAAAGAGGAAGAGTATTTTGAAAACAGAAAATAGTGAGAAGGGAATGAAGGTTGGGAAGCTGGCTGCCATAGCAAGAGGGTTAGGAGAAGGGAGGCAGAAGGAGGCCTCTCACTCACTAGGTGATAAATCCAGCCTCCTTGAGTGGGATGCGTTCATCTGACACATGGTGGGTAATTATATGTATGTGTTTAGAGAGGCTTTAGGATTAGGTGAGTTAATGTATAAAAAACACCCACCATAGTGCCTGGTACATGTTTAAAAAAATGAACAAATACTAGTTCCTGCAGCCGCTGTACTCCTTAAAAACTAACATCCCAGGACACCTGGGTAGCTCAGTGGTTGAGCGTCTGCCTTTGGCCCAGGGCATGATCCTGGAGTCCCAGAATCGAGTCCCACATCGGGCTCCACACAGGGAGCCTGCTTCTCCCTCTGCCTGTGTCTCTGCCTCTCTCTCTGTGTGTCTCTCGTGAATAAAATCTTTTAAAATAAATAAAAACTAACATCCCCAATCACCAAAAAGACAAAACAAACAAAAAAAACCCAAATCCTGTTTTTATTGTTTTGTAGTCCCAATTTTATACCTGCATTTAATAGTCTTCATCACCCTTACTATTCTTCAGTCTCATCAAAGCTAAGTCTACAAAAATATGTTAGTGCCAAAAGTATGACTGATCCAGCAAACTAACAGTGAGGAAGAAGGGTAAGAAGGCACATTTTTATTAATAGTTCTACCCTTTAGGATTCCCTAAGCAGGTTGAGAAATGAGTTCTAGGAACTCAGTCTAGGTTCCAAGTTTAGGAATAGTTATCTTAAG